AAACGCATCAACCGCATGTGTAGCCGTGATGGTCTCTTCTCGGCGGAGTCCGGGAAGTGAACACGGTTTCTGTGTTATGTTTGACGTAAGTAGGAGTTTAGGATCACCTCTTGATCATTACTAGCTTCATGACCGTTCCTTTGCTTCTATTCTCGCTCTCATTTGCGTATGTTAGCCACCATACTTGCTTAGTCGCTGCTGCAACCTCACCACTTTACCCCTTCCTTTCCCATTAAGCTTTGCTAGTCTTGATACCCATGGTAATGGGATTGCTGAGTCCTCGTGGCTCACAGATTACTACAACAGTTGCAGATACAGGTTATGCGATGATCTTGACGCGAGAGCGATGTTTGCTTGTTTTGGAGTTCTTCTTCTGCTTCTTCTTCGATCAGGGGATAGGTTCCAGGTTGGCAGCCTGGGCTAGCAGGGTGGATGTCGTTTGAGCTTCTGTTTGTGTTTCATCCGTAGTCGGATGTTGCTCTTATGTAATATGATGTTGTATTCGTGTGGCATTGTATGCCTCTTGTATGTATCCCCATCTATTATGTAATGTTGATGTAATGATATCCACCTTGCAAAAGCGTTTCAATATGCGGGTCTTTCCTTGGTGGGACCTTCGAGTTCCTTTTGGATAGGGTCGCATATTGGGTGTGACAAGGAACCTACGAGGTTGGTTCGGAGGACACTGGCCGGATGTGATCCGAGCTGGACTTGGAACGCGATCGAGTAGACTTTGGGATTTAGGATCCGTCTAAGGCCCAAGTGTTGAGCCCGCGACGAATGCCTATAAATAGTGGAGGTGCGGCACACTTATGCAGTTGATCACTTCAGCGCCGTCGTTAGGGCTTTGCATGTGTTGCAACTAGCCACCTCCACTTGCCACTGGTTGTGTGATCAGACCTAGCAGTCCGTCGCATGATGTTCCTCCTGCACACGTGGATACCGTTAGAGGCGGTGCACTTGCACCGCTCCGGAGAACTTGTTCGCGGGATCTGATTGGCTACGTGGGAGACCAGTAAGGAGGAGACGACTCCGAGAACGCGAGGCGATTCCGGGAACGCGCTGCCTCAACTCTACTTCCGCTGCACGACACTGCGTGTCTAGTGGTAACGATATGTGATCCATCTCCCGTGGCATGTTCCTGGTTGTTCTGCGCGTAGGAAATTTTAATTTGCAGTCGACGCACCCTACCATAGATCCCAACACTTCGTAGGTTCGGTAACTCATAGACATGAACGAAACCCTTTGTTCAATGACCGATAGCGGAATTGTGGACGTCCATATCTATCCCTATGAGCGGAGGAATGAAATTCAAGTGAACCTTTGGTTATCATGTGATGTTCCCTTTATTCGTGATACTTCACAAAAGCAGGGATGCATCGTTATCCTCCTGAGTCATCGCATGCTCATTATACCGTTAACCTCGTTACCGGTTTTATTCTTCTTTCTCGTTATTGTGTTTCGGCATCCCCATGACGTAGTCACCTATGTCTGGCCAGACGATGACGGATGTCGTCACACCGAGAGGGCACTAAAAATATCTCTCCATCGTCGAAGGAGCAAATCTCCCTTGTCAAATTTTTCGATGAACCTGTAACTTGTCGTTATGATAACCGTGTTACAAGTCACGTTTGAGCAACCACAAAGTCCACCGTACGGTAATAATGACTACGGTACTCTCATGGTGTAAGCATAAAAATCACATGTTAACACTCCGTGTTATTACAATTCATTACACATGATATTATCTCAATTCATATAAAACAAGTTTGGGTCGATTCAATATGATTGTTCTTCCAATGTCATAAAATGTTGTTTTAGAACTATCCTTACACGTAACAATACCCAAAGAGCCGGAAAATGTGATCACCAATAACACTTGAGCTAGTCTTAGAGGTGAGACTAGGAACCTTTATTTTATCCATTTATCATTTCACACGTGCATATGAAATTTCCACTGAACCGCATATTTCAGGATCATAGAAGTTATAGCATGAAATATAGACACTTATTTATGAATATGGAAATATAATAATACAATATTATTGCCTCTAGGGCAAATTTCCAACAGCCACGAGGACGACAACGAGCTGCATCTCGGAGGAGTCCCCGATGTTACAACCGACAAGGCGGCAAGCTGGAACCAGCACGATGACGAGCTAGAAATGATGGCGGCAAATGCTACAATCCACATATAGTGAGCTGGAACGGGAGCCCCGATGTTGCAACCATCACGACGGTGAGCCGGAACTGAATGCAACCAGACGCGGCGAGCAAGCAACCGTGGTGGGGCGACGATGTCAAGCATCGGCGAGCGATGCTTCAACCGGTGGTATTTCGGCCATGAGCGCGCTGGGTAGTAATATTTTTGCAAGCGGAACGACGCTCTGGTGATGCCGGGCTATGCACGGGAGGTTGGGGAACACCTGCTTCATGTTGACTCTTTTTGTTACGGGGGACCACTGATCCAACGGTCGTTACACACTCAATCATGTGGATGTGGTGCAACCGACTAAATTTTTGGCTGCTGACTGGCGCCTAGCGTCGGCCCATGTATGGGGCGGGACACACCCTGCTTTTTTCATTTATTTTTTCACTTCTTTTTTTGTTTAAAATAATTCAGCTCTTTAAGAAAGTTCAAAACCTGAAAAAACTTGTGTATTTCAAAAAAAATGTTTCAAGAATTCCTAAAATGTTCATGAATTCAAAAATATTCATCATTTTTAAAAAATTTCAGGAAATCATTTAACATCGTGGATACGAAAAATGTTTGAAATTTCAAAAAAAAATGTATAGAAAAACAAAAATGTTCATGATTTTAAAAGGAGTTCACGTATTAAAAAAAGGTCATGAATTAGGAAAACCATGAATTAAAAATTGTGCACAAATTTTTCAATACTGTTCACAAATTTCAAAAATATTCGTGAATTTCAAAAGTTCTTCCCAAGGTTCAATAACTATATTATTAAGTCTAAAACGGTTAGCCGATTCAACAAATGTTCATGAATTTCAAAATTGTTCCCGAAATAAAAAAATTGTCAGTTGAAAATTAATCAAATAAAAAATATTCACAACTTTGAAAAATATATTCATAATTTCAAAGAATGTTTTGAATTTAAAAAAATCATTATTTCAAAAATTATTTACAATTTTAGTGTTTGCGAATTTATAAATGATGTTGGCGAATAAAAAATAATCATGATTTCACGAAAAGTTCATGATTTCAAAAACATAATCAAGGTTTGAAGCAATGTTCATAATTTCAAAAAAATCATGAATTTTAAAGATGCCGCAAAAATTGGAAAAGGGAATAGAAAAGAAAAGGGGGAGAAAAGAGGAAAATTAAATCAAAAGAACAAAACATGAAAAAAAAAAGAAAACCAACAAAGAAAGAAAATTAAAAAAGAAAGGGAAGAATGAAAATGAAAAAATATCCAAAGAAAACACGCACACACACACAAAGCGGTTCATTGGACGCCCAAAAGTATGCAACGGGGAGCGGTGTTTGAGCGTTTGGTCGCTATCTTGCGAGGCAATAGGCCGCTACGCTAAAGGGCGCATGTGATTGGCCTAGCATAGACCTGGGCATGGACAGCCCAGCCCAAAAGCCCGACATCTGGACCGGGCTCGGGTTTAGCTTTCCCGCCTGAAGGCCAGCATAAAAGCTCGAAAATAAGCCCGGACATGGCATAAATCATTATTTTATTAGAAATATAGGTACAATATATATTTTAAATACCCAAAAATCATTATTTTAATAAAAAAAGTGCACGATTCTTGTATTCTGGGCCGGGCTAGGCCGGGCTCGAGCTTGTGATTCTGAGGTCGGAACCAAGCCCTACCCGGAGAATGCCTAGGTTTAGCCTAGCGACATCAGTCATCATGCTAATGTCACTTATATTTTTTTCTCCTCTTTTTTTATTTTCATCTTATCTTATATGCATATACGATTATTTTAAAAACATAAATATAGTTAAGAAATTTAAACCACGAATTTGAAAAAATGTTAACATAGTATACAATTTGTTTGCTCGGTTCTTAGAAGATGTGAATAATTTTTTAAAAAAATATTCGTGACAATGGAAAAATGTTGCTTTGTTTCAAAAAATATATGCCCAATTTTTTGAAATTGTTTATTCAATGTAAAATAAATAGATTAGAAATAGCCTTGGATTTGCTGATCCAACTGAAATAGCAGCCTTTGGTTTGTTGATTACTACTGTATACTCACTCCGTTCTCAAATATTTGTCTTTCGAGACATTTCAAATGCACTACAAATACGGATGTATGTAGACATATCTTAGAGTGTAGATTCATTCAATTTGATTTGTATATAGTCCCTTGTTGAAATCCCTAAAAGGACAAATACGGAGTAGTATTTAGGAACGGAGGGATAGCGCCAACTACGTCAAAAAAAACGCGCCAGCTGTTGTTCCGGAAAGCATCGGATTGGATTTGGATTTAAAGGGGACGACGCACCGGCGGGTTCGCAACCCTAGTTTTCAATCTGATCTTTCCCCGATCTTCGCCGCCCATCTTCCCAACTTCCCCACATCTCGCGCACTCCGGCGAACATGGCAGCGATCATGGTGGCGCGCGGGCAGGGGCTGGAGCCAGATTTCGATTTCTTCGTGGTGGTCGACTTTGAGGCAACGCGCGGATCTTCCCCCAGGAAATCATTAAGTTCCCCGCCGTGCTCGTCGACAGCGCCACCGGCCACATCGAGTCCGTCTTTTGCAGGTACGTTCGTCCAAAACATCACCCTGTGCTGATCCAGTTTTGCAGGGAACTCACTGGCATCCAGCAGAAGGACGTCGACGGCGGCGTGGATCTCGGCGAGGCGCTCTGGCTACACGACACTTGGTTGAAGGCGGCGACGGCGGGGGCAGGGAACAAGAGACGCGTCCGCTTGGCCGTCGTGACATGGGGGACTGGGACTGCCGCACCATGCTGGAGTTCGAATGCCGCTTCAAGGGCATCGAGAAGCCCTCCTACTTCGATGAGACTCCCCTTCCAGGCGGCACTCGGTGGCGGAGGGCGGGTCAACCTGCAGGATGCGGTCCGGGCGGCGGGGCTGGACTGGGAGGGCCGCCTGCACTGCGGGCTGGACGACACCCGCTACACTGCGCGGCTGCTTGTTGAGCTCATGGGGCGTGGGGTCAAGATCAACATCACCGGCTCGCTGGCGCCGCCGCCACCGATGCAGAAGCAGCCGGCTCGCACAAGCCTTTGCGGTGGCTCACCGGCGCTGGCGTCGGCACTGTCGCCGATCCAGCAGCAGCCGCCTCGCACAGGCCCTTTCGGTGGCTCGTTTGCGCTGGTGCCGGCGCCGATCCAACAGAAGGAGCAGCCGCCGCAGCCACACATAATCAACCCCTGCGGTGGCTCCACTGCGCCGTGCTTCTGGTACTGCGGCATGGCGAGCAGAGGAGGCATGGAGCCAGGGCCGATGCAGTCTGGATGCGGCAACTGGACGCCGGGTGAATAGCTCCCATGCGACGTCGTTGGTGTGAACTGTCTCTCATGCGACGTCGTTGGCTGTAATAGCTTGCATGCGACATCTTCGTTGGAAAAAATAGCTCCCATGCGACACACCATTTACGCGGCTAGTTGGCTGTCCGTTAGGCTGAGATTTGGTTAGGACACTGGGGGTTATGTGCTCTGACTGGTGGGGTCCACCTATGGCCACGTAGTCAGGAGTCAACCGTCCACGACTCGACCGGTGACTGTGTGACCGTGCTCGACTCGCCCGTGCTAGACTGGGCGAGCGGCGCCGCCGTAAGCATCTTCTCCGGCAGTGGTTTCTTCTCCGCGGTGGTGGAGCGCATTTCTCGGCAGCGGCAGAGCTATTGCGAGGTGAGCCCGAAACCCTAGTCCCACTCCCCAGAATTTTGGGGGATCTGTGGCCTCATGCTGCCCTCTGTTTCTTGGCGATTTAGAATCGGGCTCCATTGGATCCGGGGGTTGTTTCTTCTCCGCGGCCCGGTGGTGGAGCGCCTATCCCTGCAGCGGCTATTGCGAGTGAGTATTTTCCAAACACTACTCCCATTCCACTGAATTTTGAATAAATCTGTGGCCTCATGCTGCCCCTGTTGCTTGATTGGATAGGAGATGGAGCGAGGGCTAGATGAGATGGAGCGAGGAGACGGGCTGCCCCGAGGAGACAGTGCTTCAAATCGGTAATGCCACCCTCTTTTCTTGGCGATTTAGAATCGAACTCGATTTGGTAGTGACTGCCGCCGCTGCCTGCCATTGACAAAACAGGGGAGGTTCAGGTTCTGCCACCACATTCGCAATTATAGTGGAATTTTTTCCCTGTAAAGCCAAGCTCAGTGATGGCAGTGTCCAAGACATTGATAGAGATACCACCGTGAGGTTGGATGTCGATTTTGCAGATGTTGATCCCCAGGAATTGGAGATCATGAAGGAGAAGGCCGTGGGCAATTTGGTGGAGAGAATTGGGGAGAGTATTGTTTGGGGTCCAGAACAAGAGGTATCTCTACAACGTTTCGATAACTATAATGGTGAATATGTGAGAATTGAAGATGGAGAATCCATGGTTGCTGAAATTGATCAGCAAGGAGGATGGGCAAGCAAACAAGTAACATTTTATGCAGAGCTAATTGATCTGCAAACTCATTCCAGAGTTGGTTATGTGCCATCAAAGATGGCTGCACAGATGGAAGATGATGAGTGGGTTTCACAAAAGAAGATGTTGGCATTGTTGACTGAACCGACTATAGTAGCTGAAGATACTGGGATTGATGCAGATGGAGAGGAGGGAACCCATGGTGCTAGGAAGATTGTTGTTGACTGGAATGTAGTAGAGTTGAATGAAAAAACAGATTTGGTCATTACACCAATATCTGACATTGATATGGCCGAAATGTTTGGCATTCAAGTTGATGACAAAGATAAGGAGAAGGATGACAGTTCTTTGCCAGCTGAAGGTAACACAGGCCCTAGAAATGCAAATGAGGATGAAGAACACCTGATGAGAGAGGCTGCAGATGATGTGGATGACGCAGATGATAATGAGCTGGTTTGTTTGTATGACAAAGAGAACCCAGTTATTGAGGTGGGAAAGTTGTGGCCAAGCATGAAGGAGTTTAGGATGTCTTTCAGGACCTATGCAGTGAAAAAAGAGTTTGATGCCAAGACTATGTGGACTGATCGAAAGAAATTTTATGCTCGGTGCAAAGGTTATGATGGTGGTGGCAATCCTTGCAAATGGTACTTGTCTGCCAGACTACAACCTGATGGAAGTATAGTAAGGGTAAATCAAATACCACACCAGCATACATGTATGACCACTTCACAGAGAGTTTCAAAGATGACATCACAGCTTTGGGTTACAGAGAAGATTACTCCTATTTTAGCCAAGACTCCAAACACTACTGCAAAGAGGCTTAAAGTTGACTTGGAGAAGTTGTACCCCATCCAGCTGCAATATACCACAGTGTGGAAAGCAAAACAAAGGGCCATGAAATCATTGTATGGTGACTGGGCAAATACATTTAGGATGTTGTATAGTTTTAAAGCAGAGGTGGAGAAGAGGTCACCTGGGAGTGTAGTGGAGATAGATACAGAGGTAACAGAGGATGGCAAGGTTTTATTCAGCAAGTTTTTTATGTGTTTGAAGCCTTGCATAGATGGATTCAAAGCAGGTTGTCGTCCATATTTGAGCATAGACTCATCTTTTTTGACTGGAAAGTGGAATGGTCAGTTGGCTGCATGCAATGCTCTAGATGGACACAACTGGATGTTCCCAATTGCAATAGGAATGTTTCAATCAGAGACAGAGGCATCATGGATATGGTTCATGATGCAACTGAAAAGATGCATAGGGCCAGTTTCTCCTTTGGCCATCCACACAGATGCATGTAAAGGGTTGGAAAATGCAGTAAAAATTGTTTTCCCCCATGTTGAGCAGAGGGAGTGCTTTGGACATATGTGGATGAATCTGATAAAAAAATTCAAAGGAGATGAATTTGGGCGCATGTGGCCAGCAGCAAGATCCTACACCAGACAGACACATTCCTATCACCTTGGTAAGATATTGGCATCATGTAGTGATAATGAATTTGCTTCATGGTTGAACACCCACCATTCTCTGTTGTGGTATAGATCAGGTTTTAATACTGCCATAAAATGTGATCATATCAATAACAACTTGGAAGAAAGTTTTAACAACAAAGTGAAGCATTTGAAAGACTTGCCTGTGCATGACATGGTGGACCAAATAAGAATCATGATCATGCGTTTGTGGGAGTTGAGAGGAAAAATTGCTAATATTTTGGAAGGGGACAAGCTTCCAGCAGTGGTACAACAGGTGGTCAACAGGAGTAGAAATCTTTCACATCTATCTGTTGAGAAATCTTCCTTGTGGGGTGCTGAACTTAGAGATACAAAGAGTGGCAAGAGGCATGTGGTAAATACTGAGTTGCATGAGTGCACTTGCCAAGAGTGGCAACACACTGGAAAACCATGTGAGCATTCCATACTTTTTTTGGCATCTAAACCTAGGTTAAATATGCACCCATATTTGCATGAGTATTATTCAGTACAAAAATTCAAAGTTGCATATGCAAGTCCAATTCCTGCACTGACTGACCAACCTCAGTGGCCTGAGGTGGAAATAGAATTTACCTTGTGTCCCCCTGTCACTAGAAGAAAGGCTGGGAGGCCTAAACAGAGCAGATTCAAAGCTTGGTTTGAGAAAGGTGGTTGTAGTAAGAAGGGGAAAAAGGAAAAGGAAAAGAATGATAAGCCCAAAAGGGCTCAAAAAGGTAACAAAAATAGGTGCAAGTTGTGTGAGGTACTTGGGCACAGAATTGGTTCATCCAAGTGCATCTACACTCCTCAGAGGCCAAAGTATGTTTATGTTACTGTTTTTGCAAGTTTTTGATTTTGCTACTTGTTCTAGTATCTAACCAAGTCAAATGCTTTATTTTTTAGGAGGAAGCGTGCAGAAAAAGCCCCACCGCTTGTTGTTGAACAATGCTGGCCAGTGAAAAAAGCAAGACTCAGTGGCTATAGAAGGAAGAGCACTAAGCAGATAATGTTTGGTGACAAAGATATGGAGCTAACTGAAACTGTTACTGCTGAACATGAGCTAAGTGTTTGTGTTTTGGACGATGTGATGCATACTGAATCTGTTTTACAGACGCTAGGGCAATCTGAAACTGTTGCAGATGAAGCAACTGTTGTGCTGCCATTCGAATCTGCTTTGACAACTGTGTTGCCATGTTTGGAGGTTGTGCTGCCAAGTGTTGAGTTGCAAATTGAAGTAGTTGAACAATGTGTGCCATCTACTCAATCTGCAGAAGTTCAAACTGAAGAAGTGAGACATGGTCAGGTGCAAAAGTTGAGGGGGCCAAAAAGCAAGAGCATCAGCATCAACAAACTATGCGCCGTGGAACCAAACGGTGGAAAAAAGCAGAAGAAATCGAGTGGTAGAAAGAAGCAAAAGAAATAGAGTCAAAAACGTTCAAATTTGATGTGAAAACTTAAGTTTGTTGTCATTTGATGTGAAAACTTATGTTCTTTCATGTGATAACTTATGTGCTATGATGTTGATTTGACTTGAAATAAAATTCAAATTTGAACCGATATTCAAATTTGAACCTATCTTCAATATTTTTTGAGTTCATTTGTTTGTTCTGTGATGTTGCATCGTTTTATGTACTACTATGCACTTTAGTTCATAAATCCAACCCTTTTTGTGAATTCCAACTCATAGTCACGGACAATGTTGTCCAAACAGGCTCCAAAGTAAGGGAAAACGGCCCCATTTCTAAGCAAGTTTTTTTCGACCTTCTCAAAATCACCCAAAAAAGATTTTCTTAGCTTATATTATACCTATATAGGATCAATACGAAGTCTCACCTTTTTTTGAATAAGTATTCATATTATTCAATTTATTTTTGAAAAAACACCCTTTAATACAAAGTTAGCAATAAAACAAGTTTAAAAATTTTAAATGCAAAAATAACTTCAGATCCTCCTTAGTCACTCTAAAATGAAGCTAAGGTGATGTTTTTGATTTTTTTGCATTTTCAAAACCTCAAACCTTCTTCTCACTCCTGTGAACTCCATGCAACCTCAGTCGAGATAGTCCAATTTGTGTAGGTTTTTTCAAGCAAAGATCATTAGATCAATTTTATCATTTTATATCATAACTATGTAACATAAAAAGGCTATATGCGCAGGTTTTTCATTTTTTAGATTTTTTTTAATTAGTTATACACATTTGAATGTTCGGTCAAACCTTTCAAAACCCCGTTGACTGCCTCCAAACCCCATGTAACCCTAGCGCCAAATGTCCACCGTCGATCTAACCCTAATGCCAAACTGCGGCCGTCGGATAGGCCTTCTAGAAGGATTCCGTGGGGGCGATCCGTGGGCTCCAATCTGATTGGCCACCGTTTTTTCTCTCTGACGAACAGATAACGTTGAGCGGGGGATCATCTAAGTGACCGTTGGGCCGAGCGGATCGGGCCCGGCAGAGCCTGGCGTGCGTGCGCACGGCCGTCGAGAGGGGGATGGGCTGCATGCGAGAGGGTCAATGACATGTGGGCCATCCCTGTCCTATGCATGCCATGCAACGTCGCAGCCTAGCTATTCTTTGCTCGTGAACACCTAGCCCGCCATTGCATGCACGCATCGACGCAGTAAAGCACGGCAGGGGCGCAGTGTATAGGTACGTCGCATCTAAGCTATTTTAACAAATGCATGTTTGAACGAGACGGACGCGTCGGTGGTGCAGCTCCTTTTTCAGTGTCACGCGCGGATGAACGAGCCTGTTTCCCACGCGGCGTCACCGCCGATGCAAGTGCACGAAATGATGCAACTCGCCTGTGCTGCCCGTGCCTCTTTGGATGCTCTGGCCGCCGTTTTTTGAATTAATGCACGCAATTACTTATGCCAGTGCGAACGGAGAAGAGAAAACGATCCAGAAGGCACCGTGTACACATTGACCACAGCTGCAACGCGGCTATAAAAGGGCACCATTTCCTCATCCTCTCACACTCATCTCTCAAGCCTCCTCCCCTTCTTCTTTTCGAGCCAAATCCACCACTCGAGCCACCATGCAGTTCAACGGCCCTACCTACCGTCGCCCTCGCACCGTGCCGGAGAGGCAGTACCCGGCCGGAGTCGTCGTTGAGAATAGCCTGAGGGTGTGGGCCATCTCTAGGTGGAGGGGCCCTAGAGAGTTGGCTCGCTTCTTCCTCCAAGCCGGCTACTGCCACCTCCCTCCGGGCACTCCGCCCATGTTCCACCTCCACGAGCAGTACGATGGCAACGCCAACGGCCTCGTCATCGGCCTCCACGTCACCTTCACCAACCCCTACGACGCTCACCACCTCCTCGGCCAGGTGTTCTGGTGTGGATGCGAGTTTATCGCGTTCACGACCTACAACATCTTCACCAACTTCCACCACATCTTCCCTCACCCCAACGGCATGCACAGCCTCCCCTACCAGATGCGGGAGAACGACGAGTGAGGGGCCCAAGGAGGAGGGGCCAAGGAGTGGCAAGGAGGAGGGGCCAAGGAGTTGTTCAAGTGCGAGTCTTCTATCTATCTAGTTTGTGTTTGTGTTTGTGTTGGTTCGGGTGTGTGTGCCCGTGTCTTCTATATATCTAGTTTTAATTATTTTACTTTCATGTTTTATGAACTATATGTAGTGGGGCGATGCCCCTCTATATGTTCTATCTATCTATGCTACTAGGGTACCCGATGCCCCTCTATCTATCTATATGTTTTTTCGGTCCTAAAGTTTCTCCATTGCATTTTATTTATGTGGCCATGTGTACTAAAAAATGCACTAAAACATGATCCAATCATAGAAGTTATTGTTAGCATGTGTCTAGTTAATTATCTTCCTTTTATGTTTTATGCACTATATGCAATAAAAATGGCGCTTCGTTGAAATAAACTAGAACCAAACAAATGCAACTTTTTTGGTTCACAAAGACTACAAGTTAGACTGCTAACTAGAACCAACCTTTTGTTTTAGCCGAAACAACACGGGACCCTACAATCGGACATGATAGCTTATGCATAAAAATAGCTCAAATAATTATCAGATGAGTTATCTAAAAAAAGGTGAAGGCAGGAAACTTAAAATTTGTAAAATAACCTAAAGCCGAAAAGATATATTGATGTCAATGACCGTGTGCACTTTTTTTGCACTAGCTACACTTCTTTTATCAACGGGCCTGGGTATGTTCTATTCGGCCCGGGCCCTGCGTAACTTCTATATGGGCCTGGCCTTTTCGGGCAACTGTGGGACGATTTTTTTTTTCTTTTCCTCCCTCTACCACTGAAACTGAAACTGATGACTAATTGAAGAACTGAAAAAACAAAACAGAGTGAAGAAGACATGCCGAATTCGTACAGCGCAACACTTTTATTCAAATGTACATATCATTACGATTACAAATGATGCCCAATCTATTCACTTACGACTAATTATCATCACATAAACAAATGCGAGACCAATTACACAAACATAAAAAAGTGCGGCCATCAGCCCCATCAAATTGCCCTGCTTCTGCAATTCGATGAGTTTCTTCATCTGCTTGTTCAGCTTCTTCAGCTCTCCCGTCACTTCTTCAGCACCAATGGAAGGGCGGGCGCCCCCGATGGAATTGCCAGATCCAGGGGCCCCGGATCCAGATGCGCCCAATCCAAACTTGCCCAACTTCTCCGCCTCCAACGGTAAATCGAGCTCCCCTGATGCACCCTCCAGTTGAATCCGCTCTATGTACTCATCTAGCCACTCAAAGTGGGTGCATTGCTTCAATTTCTGAAATCCGAAAGATGAACCCTGAATCCCAAATCCGATGGGGAAAAAGGGAAAAATGGGCAAATATGAAATTGGGAGACAAAAACCAAAATTGGCATATTGAGAAGTAAAATCTCACCTTTCCCTGCTCTGGTTTGCTCTCGCATTTCACGAATTCCCGCCCAAGGTTGCCATTCTTGTCGGTCGTTGTGACTAGCCGCTTCAGGGGTGCGATACGTGGGCATGCAGGGCATCTTGTCATGGGCACTGCGCCATAGTGTGGCCATGAGCGGCGGGAGGCTGAAGCGGAGCTCGACATTGCTAGGTCGCGGCCCGGAACGGCATTGTTGCGCGTCGTCGCCGGAGAAAAAGAACAACAACGGTCGGGGAGGGGGAAGGGGGAGGATGGGCTCGGGTGCTGCACGGCTCGGGGCACGGCTCGGTGTCCTCTTGTACCAATGCTGACCTGGATAAGTTAGTGGGTCCCACGCTGTGGGTCCCGCTCACCTGACCAATGCTGAGTTGGATAAGTTAGTGGGTCCCATGCTGTGGGTCCCGCTCACCTGATTCGAGTTTTAAACATGTGTCTTTGGATTAGGCAGCAGTGTCGCATGGGAGCTATTTTTTCCAACGAAGATGTCGCATGAGAACGATTACAACCAACTACGTCGCATGAGAGACAATTCACACCAACGACGTCGCATGGGAGCTATTCACCCCTGGACGCCGGCCATGGGACCCTACTTCCTGTGGAGCAACTGAACCCAGTGTCGCTCAGCTGCTAGTGTTGATCGTCCTAGCCATCAGAATCTGTCTAGTCTAGGTGTAAATTTGGTCATTGAAATCGAACTTGACCAATAGGGCTATTCTTGATGTAATTGGTGTCTGAATTAGTATTATCAATAGAAATTTCGTTTTAGTTATGTTCCTTCTCCATGAATTTCTGAGACAACAGAAAATTCGGATCAGAAAAAACAACCAACTGTGGATTTCTGAGATAAGAGCACAAATGCCACATCATATTGGAAAAAACAACCTTACATCCAAAATAATTTCCTTGAACACAAATGCCTCAACTATACTCCCAGTCTATCAGTTATTGTTCGCTGAAATCAAAAGTGACCAATGGGGCTATTCTTGATGTAATTGGTGTCTGAATTATTAGTATCAATACAAATTTCCTTTTAAATACTAGTAACAATAGAAGATTTGTTTTGCCTTCTCTGTTGATTTCTTCAGTGCCGAGCAACAGGCCAATGATTGACTTGTGAGTGACATTAATAAATTTCTGACGAAGGCCACAATTCCAATCGACAATGCAAATGGGAAAGTCGTCCTCCGATGAAGCCCCCCGCTCCGCCGAGGGGCTGCTCGCCGGATGGGGCATCCATCACGTTGGCTAAAGACATGGCGGCAACGACCGACGCCATGAGGTATGGTCTCTCTCCAAGGCACATTTGTCAGCACCAAACAAGACAATGTTGACAACTTGCCATCTTGCCGCATATCACCATCATATAGGCAACCTTATATCAAGATTGAAAAATAAAACAGCCAACTGTAGATTTCTGAGATAAGAGCTAATTCAAATCATTTGCTCCAACACAAATGCCAATGGTTGTCAAGCTCTTACATAAACTCCATACATTATCAGTCACAAAATGAAAACATGGTCACAAGCACACTACAACCGTTGTTGCTGGCCAATCAAGTCTCCCCTCAGCAGCAGCAGGTAGCATCACAGCCAAACACAAAGGAAGGACTAACCAGTAACCATTGAGTCGGTTACAAGGTGCTCAAAGACTAGCAAAATCTACTACCTAGCCCTTGGTTTCTACTGCAAGGGCTATATCAACCACCTAGAGAAGTTGTTGCAGACCACCTGAAGTGCGCCTTCAGGCCAATAAAACCAAGGTTGATGTTAGCATCACACCAGCTGATGTGAATGTGCATAGGAATTTCACTTTGTTGTGCTGATGTGTTTCCTGATCATGTTCAAGGTCTCCATAACCTGTGAAAGCAAGACTACAATAAGTACCCGACAGAAACATCAGAATCATAATTTGTAAGGGTGCAAGAAAACCATGTTGTCCCAATGGATGCCAGCAATTCCTACCACACTAGCATGATATGAAGCAATAGGTAATCCTAGACGAGAAAAATCCACTTTACAACCCTCAACTTGCCACTCGGCTTAGGACTGAGAACCCAAAACCGGTTACCCCACCCTTAACTTGCCACTAGGTTCAGAAATCAACCCCCTTTTTGGTTTTGACTGCGTTGACTGTTGAGTCAGCCTGTTGGACCCAACCAAAAAATAAAAGCTCTCTCTGCCACCTGCTGGAGCCTGGCTGCCGACTTGCAGTGGACATGCACCGTGGGTGCAGCCAGCACAGGAGCAAGGAGCCAGTGCCAGCAGCCGCTCCAGCTCCTTTGCCATGAAAAGGTTAGCTTGATGCGGCGAGCAAGTGCCTGACGGGGAGCGAGGCGTTGACGACAGTGTGAACCCAGCTGGGCGAGCAGGGTGCAGGTCTTGTCGCAGGCACCAGGTGCACGCCTGCTAGGTTGGTCGGCTCTGACAAGCTCCGCCGCCCCACGATCTCATTCTACGACCGCACCCGCTCCTCTGTCTATGTCCTTTCCTTTCTTATGGATGTCGATGCACCCTTGCGAGCCATCGTCCCCCATCCTTTCACCCCCCCTCCCCGCGGCTTTCGTCGGCGCACAACCTGCTCCTCCACATGCCGCGCAACCCATTTCCTCCTCATGCTTCCCACTAATGCCGACCGCACCCTTCTCCTCCAACTCTGGCGGAAATCGCCGCTGCATTTGCCGATGACCGTGTCAAGCCTACGGTGAATCCCGGATCAATTCCCCACGCCTAGAGCTTCCTCTCCACCCGACTCGGCTGCTCCCCCTTCAATTGCAGATCGGAGGCCTCCCCGTGAGCGCAACGTCGACATGGCCGGTAGCTGTTGTCGCCGGCAAGAGAGAATAGAGAGATATTTATTTTTCTTTGCTTTTGGGTGGGTCTCACATGTATGGAGGGTTCAACGTGGTCAAACCCAACCAAAACCGACCAACATGGTTAAAACCGAGTTGGGGGGGGGGGCAGGGTGTGGGACAACCGTTTTCAAGTACAGGGTTGAATCCTAAACC